CAGTAAACTGCTGTGATAAATGATGTTTTATAGCCACAGTTTGAGCTCCTAAACGTTTAACCTCAGCCCCACTACGGTCATCTAAGAGTCCAAACATCGAATGAAGAAGTCTTCCAACCCCGTCAAATAGGCTTCTTTTCACCCGACTTTTACAATGTTGGCTCTCTTTAACACCCGTTAAAACCTCTCTGAAACCTTTGGTCATAAACGCCAGTCTATGCCCGACTAAACGCATTCTAGCTTCTCCATGAGCTGAAGAGTTTTCTCTCTTGACGACGGTAGATATTACTCCTAGTGACGTCTTGAGCCGTTCCAGAGTCTCGGAAATGGGTCCTAGGTCCTGATATTGCACAACCTTCCAGTGGATATTCTCGGTGAGAACCTTCTCCTCTCTTCTAATAAGGGCTACCCCCGGCCGAAGAAGAGGTGGATTGCTCTCCGCCTGACAAACCATCCACAGGCAGGCTCCCAGGATCAGCATGCACATCCCTCCCAACATGGTTCAATATCTGCAAGAAGCATAACATTTTAATTCCATGTTGGTAACCACCACGTCCTTTCCAACAAAATGTTTATGTAAAATACGTGTTGGTGTGTCATGTGGTCATATGTGATCATGTCTAGTTATGGTTAGTTCTACTATGGTCCCTCGTGCAACCGTGCATAATATCCGGGTCCATACTTTGTACGTCCGCTAGTACGTCTCCCATGCATAGGTTCCCTACCCGCATGCTCAGAACTAACATTCCTCCCATGAGTTTCATTCATTCCATCATTCATTCTGCTTTCGCCCTCAGCGTTATTTGCAGAAGCATTGTTGGAATCTGTATTGTTTGTGATATCCATTCTCATCTTACAACAATTATTGGCTGTTCCTGGAATAGACTATTGAATTCATCCTCTACAATTACATCCGGTCCCTCATCCTCTTCCCATGAAGGTTGAGCTTCTGTCCTTTGCACCGTTTCGGCTCCATCGCCAACTGGTCTATGATAATTCATAAGGTACTCCATTTTCCGTTCGTCTTCTTCCTCCTGATTGCCTTCAGGGATGATAGACTCCTTGTCTGGTCTCATTTCTGGATATGGTCTCCTAGCTCCTGTAGCTAGTGCTCTTGGTATGGTTGCTTCCAAAGCCACCTTCATATTTTCCAAATGGACTTCTCGCCCTAGTTTGCAAACTCTTAACTGATAGACATAGGGTTTTACCTCCTTGGTAACCCGGTATGGTCCTTCCCATTCCCTACCTCTGCGACGACGACGCAGCCGTTACTGCTCCGCTTTTTTTGCTTGATTTCTAACGAAAGCAGAAATAGAAGACAGCAAAATCATACACAGTGAGTGGTTTAAGAGTACAGTGCATCCGTTGGTGTGGTTTTTGGCCATTTTTAATCTGGGGGACTTAGTCTTTGGAGGAACAAAAAATCAAAATTAGGAGACGCCACCCCCCCTCAAATCTTGAAACCGAGTTTGCGCATGCACACTGGAGTTCTCGGTGACCTCATCTGACCTACACAGGGTTTAACAAGGAGCACGGTTTGCTACCACTCTGCCGCCGCCCGACGCGCTCCCGCACCTGCTGCTGCCGCGCCTCCCTCTGCGTCGCCTCTCTCACCGTATCTTCTGCCATTATGCAATGAAGCCTCCGAGCAGCAGTGGCCAGCGCCTCGCCAGCCCTAAGACCATCATGCGAAGCGAAGTCATATCGCTGATGAAGGCTCATAAGACATCGCTCAACGATACCATCTGTAACTTGCAGCGCACACTGAGCGAAGCAACGAGCAAGCTGAGTGATGTGATCGAAAGCCTCGAATTCACGCAAAAGGAACTGGAGGATTCAAAGGAGATAAGAAAGCTCTCTGATGACAACGCTGCGCTTGAGCAACAACTCCGCGGATTGTCTGCCGATACAGCAGAGGTGAAGCAAAGCCTCATGAAAGCCACGGACCGCGCGGACTACATGGAAGACCAGAGCAGAAGAAATAATCTATGTATAAGTGGAATTCCAGAGGACAGGAACGAGAACTGGCAGCAGTCGCACTGGAAGGTCTCACAGGTTCTCTGCAGACATTTCAATCTGACTCCTGACCTTGAACGAGCTCACTGAGTAAGGAAGCAGGACAAACCACGTGACATTGTTGTCAAATTCACGCGATTTCAGGACCGCGAATCCGTGCTTCAGGATCGCCGCAGGCTCGCCGGAACACGAGTTTATGTGAATGAGGACCTGTCCTGCAACATTGGACATCCGCCGAAGCAAGATGGACGAACTGCGCGAGGCCAAGCGGCAAGGGAAGGTGGCCTACTTTAACTATAGGACACTTGTGGTAAGAGAACGTCGGGATAAGGACCGCGCACGCGACCGTCCAGCTCGCGACGCCACGCAGCCTCAAGCCACACCGCCGTCTCCGCACACGCCACTGCCTCGTGTCGCCTCCATAGCAGAGTATCCTGTCCTGACGTCCGCCGCACTACAGCCTCCTGCCAGCTTTCCCCCGGCTGTTCCTCCGAACACGCCTGCAGTCGACTTAAACCTCACTCCGACTGACCAAACCACTTCTGCGTCTGCTGACGCCAGTCCTGCCCCAGCTTCCGGTGCCACCTCCCAGGCACCTCCCAGCCACGAGATGCTACAGCCAGAGGTGACTGCCAACAGCATCGCACCTGCCGCAGCCGGCATACAAGCAACAGCGGAAGCCAGACCCACACCCAGCAGTCCAAGCAAAGCAGTTCGTATGAGGAAGCCCCCATCATACTACAAGGCTTAAAAAAGCTGTGTTGTAATTTTCCTCAATTGTTTTTCACATTATACAATGTCCCCCATATGTTTTCCGTTTTCCAGTATTTGTGATAATGAATTTCTTAGTCTGTTTCGCCAGAGTCGCCACGACAACATCCTATCTTTTGATGACATTGACATTATGAATCTTGTAACCTTCCCTGAAAACAATGACGGTATGACTGATAACAATAATCCTGATGTTTTCCTTCAACAGTCCCTGCAGTTTAAAAACCCGTCTTCTAAGTACATATTTCCCGGCTCTAAGGTTGATAAAAGTTTTGCATCTTTCACTGTTTTAGGATATAATATTAACAGCATTCCTAAACATCTTGATGATCTCGTAAACAGCTGTGTTCTGCCTCTAAAGTTTACTGTTGATGTCATGTGTATGTGTGAAACGAAGCTCACGGAAGAAATTCAAAACCTGTACGACATTAAGACTTATCAGATGTTCACCAATAATACCAGCGGGGGTATAGCAGTATTTGTTCATGAGTCGCATAACGCTTGCCCAAGACCAGACCTTACAGTTAATAACCTCATCATGGAGAGCCTTTTCATTGAAATAATAAATCCAGTAACATTATCGTCGGTATGATTTACAAGCGTCCCAAATCAAATAACCAGCTTTTCTTTGACAAGCTCAATGAAATCACTACAGTCTTGGCATCTGAGAACAAACGCTGCTATATTAACAAACTTGTTAAATTCAGCCATGCCTGCCTCTAGAAACCTGTCAAACCTATTTCACGAAAATATGTTTTATAACTGCATAACGAAGCCCACTCGTGTGACAGACAGTTCTGCAACATTGCTGGATCATATCTGGACAAATGACCTTGCACATAATCTGGATAATACAATAATATACTCTCATATATCTGATCACTTTCCAGTACTTTCTGAATTCAAGTCTAACGTAACAATAGCACAATCTGGCAAAATAGATATTCAGTATAGGGATTTCTCGGAGCAAAATGTCCAGCTGTTCACTCAGCACTTGCAAACTGTGTCTTGGGACTTGGTTTATATTCCTGCCAATCCTAATATCAAGCTTGCCAATTTCTATACTATATTCACAACTTCATTCAATGTTTTCTTCCCTTTGTTACATAAATCTCTAAAGCCCAGAGCCCCTGCCAAGCCATACATAACATCAGAAATAAAAACTTTGATTGCCCAAAAGAATAAATTGCAAAGAAAATATGCAATATATCCCCTGACTTATGGAGAAGCCTTCCGCTCAATTAGAAATCAGTTGACCACCACTATCCGTAATGCAAAGTCAACTTACCTAAAAAGCAAGTTACTTCAAGATCCTAGTAACTCACAGACGACCTGTGACAAGACCACGTGTAAACAAACCCACTCAATCAATGTTAGTGGTAAAGTTGTGACTGACCCTCATGATATTGCTGAACAATTTAATATTTACTTCAGTGATATCGGAACGAATCATGATTTGGATTCCCATAACCACAATGATAATTTCGAAACATTTTTGAGACATCCAGTAAATGACAGGATGTCCTCCCCCCAGTCACAGTTCAGGAAGTGCTGGACACAATTAAATCTACAAAAGATACTTCCGCTGGTCACGATGAAATACCCATAAAACTATTTAAAAAGATTGCTCCATACATAGCCCATGTATTAGTTGATATATTTAATGCTTCTTTTCAAACTGGAACATTCCCCGATACATTAAAGATCGCCAAAGTCATACCCATTTTTAAAGCAGGTGATAAAAATTCAATTAATAATTACCGCCCCATTTCCATGTTATCAACATTAGCTAAGCTACTTGAGAAATTGGCATTAAGACGCTTAGAAGAATACTGTAAACGCAATAAAGTAATAACACCTTCCCAGTATGGCTTTGTCGATGGAAAATCCACTCAGTCTGCTCTCGTAGATTTTACTAGTTCAGTATTACGTTCATTTGATAATAAATTGTTCACACTCAGTATATTCTTAGACTTTAGCAAAGCATTTGATACTGTAAACCACAGAATTTTGTTACGGAAATTAGCTCACTATGGTATTAAAGATAACGCCAATAATTGGTTTAATTCTTACTTAACAAATAGAGTACAGTATGTTTCATAAAGTAACTGTTCCTCTCCCACCTGTCAAATGTTAAACGGAGTACCACAGGGTTCCATACTTGGTCCATATCTTTTCTTATGTATATAAATGATTTGTGAACTGTACCAATC